AGTTGCTGTCCTTTTGTTCTTCAGTCTAGCTGTGGAGGACGTCGCTTCACTGGCCCATGTTGGTATTATCATTGCGCTCTTCCCGGGTGAGGCAGATCGATCACCAGCCATCCGTCGGCTGCTCACGGTGGCTCTTGGCAGCTCACACAGGCTTCCAGCCACGCACGGTAGCTCACGGCAGCCCACTGTAGCCCCACTGCAGCCCCACTGTAGCCTATGCTGTCGCCTGCAACTCATGGCAGCCCAGCTCCAGGTCGAGCTGTTATTCACCATCTTAGCTGTAGAGGGCACAGCGTCACTGGCCCATGTGGGATTCGAACCAGTGGCCCTGCTGCTCAGAGCTCACGCTCCCAAGCGAACTCTTAACCAACGAGCCACCCGGCCGACCCCTAGACTTTTAATTTATTCATTTATTTATATTGTTGTGGACTATTTATTCAGTAGGTTATATATGGTAACTATGTTTAATATTTTGAGGAAGTGTCAAACTATTTTCCAATGTAGTTGCACTGTTTTGCATTTCTACTAGCAATGCATAAGGGTTCCAGTTTCTCTGCATCCTTGGCAACACTTGTTGTTTTCTATTTTTTCATTTTAGCCTAGTTGGTGTGAGTGGTATCTCATTGTGGTTTTTTTTCCTTTTTTTTTTTTCTTTGCTGTTTTTGTTTTTCTATTGGGGAATTGGGGGAGGGGAACAGTGTTGGGGAATTGGGGAAGGGGGACAGCCAAGTTGTTGTCCTTTAATCTTAGATGTGGAGGGTGCAGCAAGCTCAGCTCCAAGTCCAGTTGCGCTGCTCAGCTCAAGATGCTATGTTCAATTAGTTGTGGGTGGGCGTAGCTACCATCCCATGCAGGAGTTGTACCAGCAGCCTCGTTGTTAAGGGCAGCAGCTCAGCTCAAGTTGCCAAGTTCAGTCTTAGTTTGGGGTGGGCGTAGCCACCATCCCATGTGGGAGTCGAACCGGCAGCCTTGTTGTTAACAGCACGCGCTCTATCCCCTGTGCTACCCTGGCAGCAGCTCAGCTCAAGGTGCTGAGTTCAGTCTTTTAGTTGCGAGCGGGTGTAGCCCACCATCTCGAACAGGCAACCTTGTTGTTAGCACATTCTCTCACCAGCTGAGCTATCCTGCCATCTGTTGGCAGCTCAGCAGAAGCTCAACTCGGGCTCAGCTTACTGACCCATGTGGGAATTGAACCGGCGACCCTGTTGCTCAAAGCTTGCACTCTTGAGCAAACTCTTAACCAACTCAGCCACTCGTCCGGCCCTCATTGTGGTTTTGACTTGCTTTTCTCTAATGACTAATAATGTTGAGCATTTTTGCATGTGTTTACTGGGCATTTGTTTATCTCTTTGGAAATATATTTGAATGTCTATTTAAATCCTTGCTCATTTTTAAATTGGGTTACTAGTATTTTTATTGTAAAAATGCCATATGTTTTATTGTATTTTTAAAATTATTGCTTTGTTTGCAAGACTAATTTTTCCTCCTCTTATTGGAAGGTCCTATCCAAAATGCACTGATGTCTTCACAAATATCAGTGAGCCAAGGATACAATTCTCAGCTTCCAGGATCCTACCCTCATTTAATACCAGCAAAGACTTTGAATCCAGTCTCTGGACAGTCAGCCTATGGTGGTTCTCAGACTGTTTCTCCATTAAATAATTACCAGGGACCTGGGCAGACTCTTTATAGACCACCTGTGGCTTCCAGTACAGTGAGACCTTCACTCCATAGTGATCCTGTTCCCCGAATGCCACAACCTACTTCTCAGAACCCAGCTGCTGCACCAATGCCTTCTGGTAGTTTTCTTCCTGGAACCAACGTACCACCACCTTTGAATTGGCAGTGTAACTATCCATCCACCGGATCACAGACAAACCATTGTCCTCGTTCATCATGCGAACCAACTATGTCTGGAAATACAAATATGACAACAAGTCATCAATATGTTTCTCCTGGAGAGCCTGCACTTCAAAACAACTTCATAAAATCAGGTAGAGTTCTTTTAGGAGTGCTTAAAAGTAGAGAAATGGGAAACTTTTGCTTGTTTAGATATTTGAATTAATATTTCAAGCCTTAAAACCATATAGAAGACTATTGATTTTTAAAATTATTGTTCATCTTTAAATAAATTAATTCTCTAATCTTTGAGTTAACTTAAAATCATGGGTTGTTTCTGCTTTGCTTCTTTCCTTTAAAGGCATCCTCCGTGTTTCTTTGAGTCACCTGTGATATTTCAGGGATTCGGCTATGCATACAGAACCACTTCCTTAAGGACTGGCCATTACTGTGATTAACTGGGTTCCATCTTGTATTCTAGGGAAGCTCAGTACCTATGGTCTCTCTTTGGTTTTGATCTGAGGCTTGGGTTATCTTTTCATCATGGCTTGGACAGTTTTTGGCCCCAGAAATTGTAAGATCCTAGAGCTTAAAACAAATAATACTTAGGAAGTGAGGAGTGTTATTGAGCACAACTGCAGTCAGAAAGCAGTGGACAGAGCTTTATACCTATGTTTTCTTTTAGGAGTTTTGTAGTTTTAGCTCCTACACTTAGGTCTTTAATTAATTTTGAGTTAATTTTTTTGTATGGTGTTAGGTAGCAGTTCAACTTCATTCTTGTACATATACAGCTGTCCCAGGACTATTTGGTGGAAAGACTATTCTTTCTCCTATTGAATTATCTTGGCAACTTTGTTGAAAATCAATTGATTATAAATGTAAGGGTTTCTTTCTTTCTTTTTTAATTTATTTTTAATTTTTTTAATTGGGGGAGGGGAACAGTGTTGGAGAATGGGGAAGGGGACCAGCCAAGTTGTTCTTCAGTCTTTGTTGTGGAGGGTGCCAGTCGCCATCTGGCTGCCCGTCGGCAGCTTGTGGCCTCTAATCTCAAGGTGCTGTGTTACAATCTTAGTTGCAAGTGGGCACAGCCACCATCCCATGTGAGAGTGGAACCAGCTGCCTTGTTAAGAGCACACTCTCTATCCACTTGATCCATCCAGGCGGCAGCTCAGCTCAAGGTGCTGAGTTCAGTCTTAGTTGCGGGTGGGCATAGCCCACCATCGAACAGGCAATCTTGTTACACCAGCTGAACCATCCTGCCACCTGTTGGCAGCTCAGCGACAGCTCAGCTTGGGCGCAGCATCACTGGCCCATGTGGGAATTGAACGAGCGGCCCTGTTGCTCAGAGCTTGTGCTCTTAAGCCAACTCTTAGTCAGCTGAGCCACTTGGCCGGCCTGTAAGGGTTTATTTCTGGACTCTAAAAATTCTATTTTATTGATCTATATGTCTATCTTTAGCAGTACCAAACATCTTGATTACTGTAGCTTTTTATTTTTTTTTAGATTTTTATTGGGGAATTGGAGGGATGGGAACAGTGCTGGGGAATTGCGGGAAGGGGAACAGACAAGTTGCTGNGGGAGTCGAACCAGCAGCCTTGTTGTTAGGAGCTCACAATCTATCCACTGAGCCACCGGGCGGCAGCTCAGCTTAAGGTGCTGAGTTCAGTCTTAGTTGTGGGTGGACGTAGCCCACCATTGAACAGACAGTCTTGTTACACCAGCTGTTGGCAGCTCAGCGACAGCTCAGCTTGGGCCCAGTGTCACTGGCCCATGTGGGAATCGAACTGGCCGCCCTGTTGCTGAAAGCCCGTGCTCTTAAGCCAACTGTTAACCAACTGAGCCACTCGGCTGGCCCTTATTTAAGCTCTTTACATGTACCTTTTTTATTTTAAAATGTTTATTTTGAAACACACACACGAATTGTATAAAACACATATGTATAGTTTAAAGGGAAATAAAATGATCCTCTGTGTATTCACCACTAGTTTAACAGAATTTCTCTCTTACTTAGTTTAATAGAGTTTAACCAGGACCTCTGAAACCCTTATGCCCTTTACCACATCCCCTTTCTCTCTCCCAGAGGTAACTGTTATATGAATTGCATAGTCTGTCTTATTATTAAAAACTGATTTATTGAGATATAATTCATACAATTCCCCATTTAAAGTTTACAATTAAGTGTTTTTCAGTATATTCACAAAGTAGTGCCATTATTACCACAGTTGAATTTCAGAACGTTTTGGCTTCCCCTAAAAGAAACCCCATCTCCACTATCAGTCAGTCCCTGTACCCGCCAGCAGTGGATAACCACTAATCTGTTTTGTATTTCTATATATTTGCCCATTATGAACATTTCATATGGATGGAATCATATTATATGTGGTCTTTGTGACTGCCTGTCTCTTAGCATAGTGTTTTCAAGATTCATGCATGTTGTAGCCTGTATTAGTACAGTTGACCCTTGAATAATGCTGGAGTTAGGGGCACTGACCCTCCCTCCACACAGTCGACAATTTGCATATAACTATTGACTTCTCTAAAACTTAAACTAATTATAGCCTACTGTTGATGGGAAGCCTTACTGGTAACATAAACAGTTGATTAATACATGTCTTGTAAGGGGCTGGCCGAGTGGCTCAGTTGGTTAAGAGCTCGCTCAACACCGTCGCTGGTTTGATTCACAACCTGAGTTGAGCTGCTGCTGAGCTGCCAACAGGTGGCAGGATGGCTCAGCTAAAGAAAAAAAAAAATCTTGTATGTTACATATATATTACATACTGTATTCTTACAATAAAGCTAGAGAAAAGAAAATATTATTAAGAAAGTCATAAGGAAGAGAAAATGCATTTATTTATTGAAAAAAATGCACATATAAGTGAACCCACACAGTTCAATCCCGTGTTGTTCAAGGGTCAACTGTACTTGATTTTTATTGCCAAATATTCCATTGTATGAATATACCACATTTTATTTATCCATTCATTAGTTGACGGACATTTGGAGTGTTTCTACTACTTTTTTTGTTTAAGCCACTTTTCAAAACAGCTTTATTGTGATATAATTCACATACCATAAAATTCACCCATTTAAAGTATACCATTCATTGGTTTTAGTATATTTGAGTAGTGCAACACTTACCACAACATTAGAACATTTTCATCACCCCGAAACCCCAAACCCATTTGTCCCTAAACCCCAAACTCTGGGCAAACACTAATTTACTTTTTATTTCTATAGATATGCCTATTCTGGATATTTCATATAAGTGGAATCATATAATATGTGGTCTTTTGTGACTGGCTTTAAGTTAGCATACTATTTTCAAGGTTCATTCATGTCGCATGTATTAGTACTTTCCTTTTATGACCAAATAGTACTCCATTTTGTGATGTACACCATTTTGTTTATCCATTTATCAGTTGATAGACATTTGGGTTGTTTCCACTTTTTGGCTATTATGAATAATGCTACTATGAATTTTCATGTACAAGTTTCTGTATGGACACATATTTTCTGTTCTCTTGGGTACCTACCTAGGAGTGGAATTGATGGATCATATGATATCTCTATGTTTAACATTTTGAGAAACTGAAAAACTGTTTTCCAAATTGGCTGCATCATTTTACATTCCAACTAGCAATGTATTAGAGTTTCCAATTTCTCCACATCCTTGTCAACACTTGTTATTGTCAGTCTTTGATTATAGCCATCCTAGTAGGTGTGAATTGGTATCTCATTATGGTTTTTCCACATTCACCTTTGACATCAGTGATGTCAACATTACTAGGACAACTTTCCAGAGTATATAACTTTCCATTTGTTTTTAAGTTGTTTGATATATCACACTTTGAGTTTGAGTAAGATGCTGTTCTTAGAAATTTTACCCTAAGCCACTAAGTTGTTATTAGCCTTTCTCATTTATTAAATAGGTGTGATTTGTGGTCTCTACAACATAACAACTTGTGTTGCTGTAAACGCTTTATTTTGCAACCATCCCAAATTTATAAATAAGTTGCAGGTACATTACAAAGAAATTCTTTTTCCTGAACCATTTGAGAGTTGCTAATATGATGTCCTATCACTCCCAAATACTTTAATTTGTTTGTATTTTCTACAAATGAGAAAGTTTTCTTAAACAACCACATTACAACTACCAAAATTAGAAAATTAACATTGATGCATTACTATCATCTAACCCTCAGACCCCATTCATAGGGTCCTAATAAACCCTTTGTAGCAAAAGAATCCAGTCCAGTATCACATGCAGATTTAATTGTTATGCCTCTTTAATGTCCTTAAATCTGAAACAGTTCCTCAGTCTTGCCTTGACTTTCATGACCCAGATGCTTTTAAGCATTATAAGCCAGTTATTTTGTAGAATGTTTCTCAATTTGAATTACCTGATATTTTGTCATGCTTAGACTCGGATTATGCATATCAGAATTGTTACAGAAGAGATACTCTATTCTTCTCATTGCATTCTATCAGGGGCACATGGTTTCATTTTTTTCCATTATTGATAATGCTCACTTGAATCACTTGATTAAGGTGGTGTCTGCCAAGCTTTTCCACGGCGAACTTGCTCCTTTCCCTTTGTAATTAATATTCTGTGGGGATGTACTTAGAGACTATATAAATATCTCATTCCTTGTTAGACTTTTATTTATTTTTATTATTTTATTAATTTTTT